AGGGCTTGGAAAGCTGTGATGTAAAAATGGAATTTGGAGGGTCAAACGAGCTCCGATTTTGGTAAACTTTATATGCACGGACTCGTGGCGAGACGAGGAATCCGTTGGTGTGATTTTCGGAATTTTTCGAGAAGTGGGCCCGGGGCTCGGGTTTTACCAACTTCGTGAATTTTAGTACTTTTCGAGTATTTTTGATTGGGTTATGTTTCTTTAACCCATATTTATGTATTCGTTGTGATTTTGACTAGATTCGACGCGCGAGGAGGTCGATACGAAAGGAAAAGGCATTGCGGACCATTCTACTGCCGGATAGAGGTGAGTAGTTGGTGTATATGATGGCATGAGGGTTTGAAACCCCGGCTTATCACATTGTGACGCTATTGTAGGGCGTGACTCGCACCCCGTGGCAGGTGCGGGATTGGTTATGACTGGGATTGAGACTTGGTCCATCCCGAACAAGAATGTTTCTATATTGGCGACTGATACGCATCCTGTATTGAATATATCTGGGTTTATTGCCGTGTTTGGGGCCTTGTGCCGGTCTGTAGCATCCTTAGAGGTTGAATGTCATTGTGATAGCATGCTTTGTATAATCATTTATCCCAGTCCTGTGTCTAATCGCTGTTATAAAATGCTAAGTCACTATTCTTGAAGTTAAATATCTAAAGTATATCCTTCTTAATAAATTGGAAATTGGAAAATTAATTGAATCTGTTACGTGACTCATATGCATATTGTGGACTGAGTATGGATCGGGCTGCACGCCGCAGCGAATGGTATGATTATATTGCGCTTGGGCTGAAGGAGCCCCTCCGGAGTCTGTACACACCCCCAGTGAGCGCCATCGACGTTAAGTGGAACGGGCTGTACGCCACAGCGTGTTCATGTGCATTGCATTGCATCCTTACATTTTACTTGACTGTATTATTTGAAGTTCTTTTGCTGTTGGATCGTAGTAAGGTGTAGGACTGTTAGTTTTAGCTTTACTTTGTGGCACTTCGTGGATTTCTTATCTTCAGACATTTTATATGCTTATTACTCACTGAGTCGGTAGTACTCACCCCTACTCCCTGCACCTTGTGTGCATATTCAGGTACACCAGAGGCTTAGCTGAGCAGTCTTTGTTTTCCAGAGCTTATCAGAGTTGTTGAGGTAGCTGCTTGACGTTCGCAGGACCTGACTACTCTTCCTATTTCAGTTTTATTTATATATATACATTTCCAGACTTGAGTATTTTCGTTCAGATATTGTTATTCAGATTGTTTTAGAGGCTCTAGACTCGTGACCCCAGATCTTTTGGGAGTGTTCTTATCAGACTTCGTATCTTTCTCGGTATTATTCTTCGTTAAATATTGGATTATTATTCTAAGACTATTATAATCTCTTTAGATTGTCGGTTTTGAGGTTTACGGTTGATTTGGGAACGACTGTGGTCAGGCTTGCCTAGCAATTTTTGTTGGGCGCCATCACGACCGGGTTTGGGGTCGTGACAGTTATGGTGTCCCAAGTCACCGGTTCAAATCCCGAATCGAGGAAAGATTGACTCTATATTACAGTCTGCGAACACAGAAATCCGGGTAAGGAATTTTGTTAACCCGGAAGAAGGTGTTAGGCATTTCCGAGTTCCGTGGTTCTAGCACGGTCGCTCAACTGTTATAAAAATGGACTATTATCTGATTTCATTACAAGTTTAAACCTATGTGCATTTTTAACCTTAACCGCTTTTATTCATTTTTAGGAAGATTGCAACGTTATTAAAACACGTCTTGAACCACGTCACATAAATGCACCCGCGGTCCTCGACATATTTTAACTAACATTGTTGAGATTTGGATTTGTGTCACATGAAATGCACACCCGGGTTTAGGAAGGTAATATTATTAAAATAACGCGCCTAAAGCAACTACGCGTTTTTAACTTTGCGAGGACCATGGAAATTTGATAAATGGCGCGCCTCGAACTCTAAGGATTTAAAAGAAATAATTAAATGAGGGCCACGCATTTTGAGATTTTGTTGGGCGCGGCACACCTCAATTTATTTTAAAAGGGAATTCAAACTAGATTTAGGAGGGCCATAAACTATTGATGTTGTCTAATATGGCACACCTCCACTATGTGAAAGCCCAATTAGTTAATTAAAAGAAATGCAGAACTTATAATTACTCAAAATTGCCTAAATGATACGTTGGAGACTAAAATGAAGATCCGACCTTATTCTAAATAAATTCCCAAACCCAATCAATGACGGCCCCATAGTGACTTCCCTCTGAATTGGGCCTGGGACCAGTCCTCATTTGATCAGAACACGACTCGAGTTCGAGTATGGATGACACCAAGTCCATTTTGAGCATCAAGAGCCTTAGGCTTCGAATGACAGTACAAACCTCAAGCAATTCACTTGGCCATGCGGTGAAACAGCGAACCACAAACTACTGGGAATTCCCAATACATAAATTGAAGCAACCACTTGCTTGAACATTTTTAGAAATTGTTACATAGTTATTTCACTCACAGATCATGATGATTCCCTCAAATTCAATATACATGCATTTTAACCAATAAACTAAGCATTAGCACAATTCCCACATTTAGTATACATGACTTGATGTATGTTCCTCCCTATTCCATTTTTCCAGTTTAAATCCTTATCCTAATCGACATTCAAACCAACAATTGCTTCACCACACGTAAATTCTTATCAGTAATACTATAGGAGACATGAGAATAAGCCTAACATGTTTGCTTTTGAGTTTTTTTTTTTTAACTATTCAGGCATAAAAAAAAATAGACTAACATTCTAAATTCAAAGTTTCTCAAATCAAAGAAGCACTTTGGTAGTCATGATTCACATTCCAAACTTACTTGAATCTATCCTCAATACAACAGATATAACTCCAAACTTAATTACCAGAAAACTAAACATGCTAACAAGGCTCATCTTGGTTGAATCAACACAAACAACAAACCAATACTTGACCTCTAACAAATTCGCACGAAAAGCAAAGCTGAAGCAACACCAATCTTTAGTAAACTAAATAAGAGTCCAGAATCCATAAGCAACCAAATTAGACCTCTGTTGTAACAATCTTAGCAGTCTCATGATAATATACAGTGACAATAACTAAATTTACTAAAAAAAATAACATTAGAAAGAGCTATGGGTGTACCAGAGAAGGGGCCAGGTGTGTGACAGGGAGGAAGGGAGCTCGGCTAGGGGGGTAGGGAAAAGGGGGATATTGTTACTTATGGAAGTTAAGATTCTTTCATGAAATGTGAGGGGGATGAATGACCTAAACAAAAGGGCCATCATCAAAGTGGGAGTTAGAGAGTGGGGTGCCAACCTAGTTTGTTTTCGGGAGACCAAAATGGAAGTTTTGTCGGATGCGATTGTGAGGAGTCTCTGGGGGAATAGTTGGGTGAAATATGACTGGGTCCCAGCATCGGGAAGTGCCGGGGGCATTCTTCTTATGTAGGATGATAGAAGCTTGAAGGTAAAGGAGATTAAGAAGGGAGTTTTTTCTTTAGAAGCTCTTGTCAAAGATAGAGTGAGTGGGGTGGAGTGGGGATTTGGGGAGTGTGCAGACCGGTAGGAGAGGGGTCCAAGGTGTCTTTCTGGGAAGAACTGGCCAATGTTATGGGGAAATAGGACATTCCATGGGTTCTAGGGGGAGACTTTAACACTATTAGATTCCCGGAGGAGAGATTAGGGTGTAGTCTGATTTCAAGGGCCACGGAGGAGTTTTCTAACTTCATCAAAGATCACTTTCTCATTGATCTTCCTCTGTCAGGGGAAAGGTTTACTTGGGCCAGGACGGAGGATTCCAACTCAACATCTAGACTTGATAGATTTCTGATATCGCCCTCCTGGGATGAGCTGGTGCGGAATGTGCTGCAGATTACTTTACCTAGGTTGACTTCGGATCATTTGCCTATCTTGCAAGATGGATGCAAAGGGAGGGGGGTGCGTGCTCCTTTCCGATTCGAGAACATGTGGTTGAAAGTGCTAGGATTTGGTGACAAAGTGAAAGAATGGTGGACAAGCTACGGGGTATCAGGGACACCTTCATTCCGTCTTTAGAAGAAACTTAAATTGCTCAATGGAGATATTATTAGGTGGAATAAGGAGGTTTTTGGGAGGGTAGAGGTTAAAATGAGGGAGCTTATGCATGAATTGGGAAAATTAGAGAGAGGGGATGGGGCGAGGGAGCTAGATGAATCAGAGAAAGCGAGATTGGGGAGGTTAAGAGGGAAATAGTCGAGTTAGCAATAGCTCAGGAGACTAGTTGGCGGCAAAAAATCGAGGGCGCTTTGGTTAAAGGAGGGGGATTCGAATACAAAGTTTTTCCGCAGGGTTGCGGTTGCAAATCGAAGGAGAAACTTCATAGAGTCCTTAGTTGTGGTTGGGGTGAGGATTGAGGGAGAAGAGGAGGTAAAAGGGGCGATAATGGGGTTTTATGAGAACTTATACAAAGAGGAAGTTAGTTGGAAGCCTACTTTGGGGGAATAGAGTTCAACTACATAGGGGAGGGAGACAGTGAGTGGCTAGAAAGAGCTTTCGAGGAGGAGGAGGTGCACGAGGCTGTGTCGAGTTGTGCTGGTGATAAGGCCCCCGGGCCTGATGGTTTCTCCTTGGCCTTCTTCCAGCTCTATTGGGACACCATTAAGGGGGAGTTGATGGAAGCCATTGAATACTTCCACGTGAATGGTGTTTTCGAGAGAAGTATCAATGCTTCTTTTATTACTATTGTGCCTAAGAAAGAAGGTGCATCTTATATCAGAGACTACGGGCCTATTAGTCTCGTGGGGAGCATTTACAAGATTATTTCTAAAGTGCTTTCCAATAGACTCAAGAAGGTTCTTGACGTGTCTGTTTCGTCTTCCCAGAATGCGTTTGTGGAATGCGTTTGTGGAAGGTAGGCAGATCCTGGACGCTGCTTTGGTGGCAAATGAACTTGTAGACTCCAGAAGGAAAAATAGAGAACCCGACTTACTATGCAAGATGGACCTTGAGAAGGCTTTCGACCATGTCAATTGAGAGTTCCTGGATTTCATTATGATGCGGATGGGGTTTGGGGTAAGATGGAGGGGATGGATCAAGTTCTGCATTTCTTCAGTCAGATTCTCTATCTTGGTTAATAGTAGCCCGTGTGGTTTCTTTGGCAGCTCCAGGGGTCTCAGGCAAGGTGACGCCCTATCCCCCATGCTATTCATTCTAGTGATGGATGCTCTGAGTAAAATGATGGATCGTGCGGCGGGCGGAGGCTTCTTGAGAGGATTCTTAGCTCCAATCGGGGTGCTCAGTGCCCGAAGAGTCTCTCACTTGCTTTTTGCGGATGACACCCTGGTTTTGTGTGATGCCGATATGGATTAGTTGACCTATCTGAAGCAGGTCCTGCAATGGTTTCAGATAGTATCAGGACTCAAAATCAGCCTCGTCAAGTGTGAGATTTTCCTAGTGGGTGAGGTTGCTAACATTGATGCTTTGTCTTATGTTCTCAGATGTAAGGTGGGCTCTCTTCCCACTACTTACCTGGGTCTCCCATTGGGCGCTTCGCATAAGGATACTACTGTTTGGAATCCAGTGATCGAAATGGTTGAAAAAAGATTAGCAGGCTGGCAGAAACGGTACTTGTCAAAAGGCGGTAAGCAAGTGCTTATTAAAAGCACTTTATCGAGTATGCCCACCTATTACTTGTCCCTGTTGCAAGCTCATGTGAGCATCATAGAAAAACTGGAGCGGCTTCAAAGGAATTTTCTTTGGGATGCGGCGGATGGAACTAGAAATTTTCATCTAGTGAATTGGCAGACAGTCACTTCGCCAAAAAAGTGGGGTGGACTTGGAGTAAAAGATGTTGGGGTATTCAACATAACTTTGTTCGGGAAGTGGCTGTGGAAATTCGGGGTAGAAGAGCATGCTCTATAGAAAGAGGTCATAGTAGAAAAGTACGATTCCACGGGAGGGGGTTAGAGGACCAAGGCAATCACAGCACCTTTCGGGTGTGGCATGTGGAGGAGCATCATGAAGAATTGGGAAGCCTTCAATGGCAACATCACTTACAGGGTTGGAGATGGAAGGAGAATCAACTTTTGGAATCACAGGTGGTGTAGAGAGGATACTCTGAGGGTCTCTTTCCCACATCTTCAGAGTTTCAAATCAGAAGGAATTGATGGTCCAACAGATTCGCAAGGAGCATGAAGGGGGGGTAGTATGGGACCTCTCATTTAGAAGGAACATGCAAGATTGGGAGATTGCGGAGCTCCAAGATTTGTTGACAATGCTATATGGGCAAGACAGGCCCCAGCCATCTTGTGATTCTTGGAGATGGAGGTTGCGTGGCGATGGTTTATTCACCGTAAAGTCCTTTTACCAGAGTATGTTAGTGAGAGAGGAGGCCACTTTTCCATACTCCTCGATCTGGATTCCTAAGGCGCCTACGAAGGTGTGCTTTTTTGCATGGCTAGCGGCGAGGGGAATGATCTTGACTGCTGGAAATCTGCGAAAGAGAGGAATTACACTTGTTAGTTGGTGCTACATGTGTAAAAGCTCAGGGGAATAAGTTTATCATCTTTTGTTGCATTGCCCTGTGCCCTCGGGTTTGTGGAGGGCAATCCTGAATCTTTTTGGTGTTCAATGGGTGATGCCAAGCACTGTAAAGGAAATGTTATATAGCTGGGCCGGTTTCCGTAGAAGAAGAAAGCAAAAGGTGTGGAAGTTCGCCCTGTTAGCTCTCATGTGGATAGTTTGGGGGGGAGAGAAATATGAGAGCTTTTGAGAGGATTGAGTCTCCTTTTTCACATCTTAAGAATAGTCTTTTATCTTTGATCGTTTTTTGGTGCACTCATATAGCCCCTACTTGTATAGAAGATTGGGCGTCTTTTGTAGAGAATCATGTTTTGATGTAAATTCTCTACTTTTTGGTATACTTCTTGTATACAAGAGTTTTTTCTCCCTTTTGATTAATACAATTTACCTTATCAAAAAAAAGGCTGAAGGGCCATACCTCCACCTGAATTCCCTTGCATCTCCAACAGAGAGATCTAAGAGCCTGTGTAGTCCTCTCTCCAGCAGCTTTAAGCCGAGATATTATTTTGGCAGCTGAATGTGCTATCGCATCAGGCCTAGCTCTCCTAAAATCATCTAACTCAACAAAGATCTGTGAGCACCAAAATAGACAACATAAACTTGGTAATCCCTGAATAATGATAAATATGTTGCAGGAATACCACAAGCACAAAATGGTCAAAGAATGCAGATATAGAACTGATCAAATTTCTTTTAAAACAATTGATTCAAATAAATAATACAATAATATCCCATGGATCTTGTCTACAATGAGTTTCGAGATGACCAAAATAATTACTGTGGATACACAACTTGCACTATATAAACTGATATACGTGCAGAGTGAAGAATGGAATGTTAACAACATTCAAGGTTGAACCTCATAAAACCTACACACATTACCTGATTCCCACTGGAAGAAATTAACTGAATTTTGATCATCTCTAGCTTGTAAAATGAAGTTCCATTTCCTAGGTTCTCATCCTTCTCCAATTCTGCCCAGCTTGGGCTATCTTGTGATGATCCACTCTCATGTTTGTGGCCATTTATTTGAATACCGCCCTTTTCTTTATGGTCTTCATCTTTTTCCATCTGGTTTAAGTCAGCGTCACTCAGCCTATGTTCGGATATCTGCTTTTGAATAGTAGTGTGCTCTTCAAGGAAGGACGGCCTTAGAACACCTTGTATAGCAAGACCTGCAGGAGGCTGGTCCATAAAATCTATAGGATCATCTGTCACAACCTGAGCACCAAAGTAGACCACAAAAGAAATGGGTTAAATTACCAATTAAATAGCAGATTCAAAAGATGTAATGCCAGCACAGCATGTGCATGTGCCGAAAATTGAATGTAATAATGTGCTAATTTCGCTTAATAGGAAGCCGACTTGATGTCTCTCTTAGATTTAACTTTGACTTTTCATGCCATGAAATCAATGACGTGGAAAATCACCTCGGCAATCTTTTTGGCAAAATACATTGGATGAGAAGAGCGCATGGTTTCTAATTTAGCCCAGTCTCCCAATGACCCGTCAGAATCCCCATCCTGATCTTCATCATCAAGAATGGCAACCCAATCCTGTGAACAAGCATTTTAACTGATGTTTATAAATGGAAAGTGCAGTTACTCACATTCTAAAAAGTAAAACATTTCAAATAAGTAAATACCTTGTCATAGTCACTTTCATCTTCATCACCATCGTCGTCGTCATCTTCATCGAGGTCATCTTCGTCATCAATATCACTGTCCTCATCGTCAAATTCATCTATGCCATAATCAACTTCAGATTGACCAAATGACTCTAGCTCACTTAGCATTTCAGCAGTATCTAGGCCAATAATTACTTGCTGCATCGTATTTGAAATTTAAGCAAGCATTCAGAACTCTTTTCTTATCAACTTTTTGTTAGTAACTACATACAAAAAAGATGACTTGTGTGAGCTTCATCATAGTTATTAATATTATGCATGCACTAGCTGCCTCTCACTATTCAAAAGCCTTTCCTTTTTCCTTTTCTGGAAGGTTAAAAGAGCTCCAAGATAGTTGGAACAGACAAGAATGTGTAAAGGCAAAGTCCAGTTTATCTCCAAAGTTGTCAATAAACATTTGATACCTGAAAACAGGCAAGTAATTATGTGATAGGACAGTCTTTCCACGGAAAATGTACCTGGATACAACCAAAAGAACTAAAGAATTTCAGCAAAGGAGGGTGAGATCTGCAGTAGTTTAGCAGCAGAAACCATTAGTAAAGTCAACTTCAAACCAGGAAGTGAGGTGCAGCAATTCAAAATAACAACCAGAACTTCCAACCAAACTTTTAAACCATCAAACTCAAACCATTTCAGCCCCAAACAGATTAGAAACCATTTCAGGAATTGAAAATTTAAGAAATCACAGAGAGAGTTCAATGAAACAGTAAGTTTCAGCCGTTTGTATCTTTCTGAAATTTTTATCTCTTGAATCTCTGCCTTGAAATGCAAGGAAGAGGTGCCTTTATAGGTAAGGAAGTAGGGCAGCAACTAGGTCTCAGTTTTGCAATTAAGCCCTTTTTGAATTTTTGTTATAGCCTAGATATCCCTATTCAACTTATCAGATTTCCCTATTAATCCCCCAACCCAGCTTCTAAGAAGCTTCCCAAGCAGTTACACCCAAGATTCTCTTATCCAATTACCCGAATTACCCCTAGTAGCCCTGTTTTTTTACTACAGGACACCCAAATGGGTATGGGTCACCTTGACCCAAGGTTTCAATTCAAACTGGGCTAATCCCCTCCCTTTGGACCCAATTCTAATTCAAAACCCAAACAAAAGAACTGAAAGCAGAACCAATAATAGCAAAAGAAAATATTTGGGCTCAAACCGATTGTAAGCCCGAAGAATATTTCAACAATTAACAAATTAAGCTAAATGACTTACTAGTTAGAATTTAACCAAACCGACCAAAACATTTCATAATTAACCATGCATGACCAAATGAAAACAAAAATAGAAAGAAGAATTAAGAAGAAACGGAGAAATGGAAGGGGAAAAAGAAAGCTAGCTTAACCCGAAAAGAAGGAAAGAAAATACCTACTGAGACTCGAGCAATTGAGGAATGGAGTTTGAATCTTCAACTTCTCGGATTTTTCGGCCAAATATGATATTAATCGTGTGTTCTTAATAAGAACACACGAATAACATCAAAATAAGCCCAAATCCTCAAAACAAACTCAAATCAGGGGCTCTTGGGAATTAGGGTTCATCCCTTCGATCTAAAATTCGAGGGACTCTGGAGTGATTCGAGGGAAGTGGAGTTTGGATTCGGAATGAGGGGAGAAAGGGGGTTTCAGGGTGTAATTTTGATGGGGATCGGATTAAGCGCCGCCACCCTAAGGCGGTGGGAATAGAGGGCGGCGGGCTAGGGTTTGGGGGGTGTCTCTGAGATAGGGGAAGTGAGAGAGACGATGGAAAGGGGGGAGGGGATTAGGACAGTTAAATATTAAAATAACCCCACTTCCCAACCGTTGGATCCCATAACCTTGACGGCTCAGATTAGATCTAACCTAAACAGGGTCGTTTGTGTAGTGGGGGAGCTGGGTCAGGCATAGGGTGTGTTTGGGCCTGGGTTAGGTGGGGTGTAACCGGGTATTGGGGAGAATGGATTGGGCCTGAGTAACAAACAAATGCAATAACCCAAAATCCTATTTCTTCATTTCCCCTTCTTCTTTTCCAAATTAATCCTTTTATTACAAACTCTTTTTAATTTCTTTTCAAATTAAAACTAAAATAAAACCTAAACTAATTCTCAAATAAAATTAATCCTAATACATTAAATTAATTAACTCTAATTAAAACCAAATTAAACGGAAAACTACCAAAATTCAAAGATTAAAATTAAAAGTGCAAAAATAACCATTTTTGTGATTTTTCCAATTCTTATAAAACAACTAATTTTCTACTTAATTAAAAAATACAAAGTTAAATCCTAAATGTAAATGCAACATATTTTTTTTATTTTTCATTAACTAAATAAAATAAACATGCACAGACAAATGCAAACACTTGACAAAAAGTGCCACAAAAATCCACAAAATTGCAAATAATGGAAAAATTATTTTGTTTTGAATTTGTGAAAGTAATTCATATAGGGCAAAAATCATGTGCTCACAGACATCAGATTACTAGACCTGGCAGTACCGGAGATACTAGAGTGGATTAGAAGGAGGCATTGGAAGCAATTCAGGAAGGAAGTTGCAACAGCAATCCTAGGAGCAATAGTACACCATACCTGGCAAGCTAGAAATTGGAGAATTTTTAGACAAATCAACCTAAATATGGAATTCTATGTTGGCCAAATAAAGAAGGAGCTCGAAGAAAGAATGAGCATATATGTAAAGTCCAGAAGAGCTAAACAATGTCCATTGTTGATACAACGATTGTGTAGTTAGGCTGTAGTTCAGTGGATTTTTCTTTCTTTCATAGTGGATGTATGTATTTAGAAGGTTTTTTTTTTTGAGGTCTTGCTGTACTGGGATAAGCTAGTAAACTTGATGCTCTTAGAATGTAAAGCATTTGGGTTGTTATGGTAATATTCACATTTATTACCAAAAAAAATATCGAGTATCGACCCCGAATCGCCGTAAAGTCTCAGATTTTGACAGACTTCGCGGCCAACTTTATGCCAGCCTTAATACCCAAACTCAAAAGGGAATTACTGCTAACCTCGAGGACTACCTCGAGAATTTGGACTCTCTTCACGGACGGTGCCTCCAACGCAAAGGGGTCCGGGCTCGGTGCCGTATTAAAACCTCCTACAGGAGGTGTGATAAGGAAATCCATTAGAACTATGAAATTGACTAACAATGAGGTCGAGTATGAGGCCATAATTGCAGGTCTAGAATTGGCCAAGAGCCTTGGGGCCGAAGTGATCAAACCCAAGTGCGACTCCCTCCTCGTGGTAAATCAAGTCAATAGAATGTTCGAAGTAAAAGAAGAACGAATGCGGAGGTACTTCGACAAATTACAGGTAACCCTACACCAATTCAGGGTATGGACCTTGCAACATGTACCTCGAGATCAAAACAGTGAGGCCAATGCACTGGCTAACTTGGGGTCATCAGTCGATTCTGATGAATTCAGCTTGGGTGGTGCAACTAATAAATTCGGTGATAGAAGAAGGTCACGCCGAAGTGAACTCAACAAGTTTAACTTGGGATTGGAGAAACAACTACATAGATTACTTGAAAATAGGAAAATTTCCTTCGGACCCCAAAGAATCGAGAGTCTTGCGCACCAAAGCTGCCAGATTTAGCTTGGTCAAAGGGGCATTGTTCAGAAAGACTTTCTTTGGCCCACTAGCCAGATGCTTGGGACCGAGAGAGACCGAATACGCCATGAAAGAAGTTCTCGAGGGAACTTGCAAGAACAATTCGGGGGCTGAATCCTTGGTTCAAAAACTCATCAGAGTCGGCTACTATTGGACCAAAATGGAGAAGGATGCGAAAGACTTCGTACGAAAATGCGACGAGTTCCAAAGGATCATCGGCAGAAATGCTCCACTCGGTCTTATCTTCGTGGCCATTTATGAAATGGGGAATGAACATCGTCTGTCCCCTGCCATGGGCTCCCTGGTAAAGCTCAATTCATACTATTTATGACCGATTATTTTTCTAAATGGGTCGAGGCCCAGGCGTTCGAGAAGGTCCGAGAGAAAGAAGTCATTGACTTTATCTGGGATCGCATAATATGCCAATTTGGGATACCAGCCGAGATTGTTTGCGAAAACGGAAAATAATTCGTCGGCAGCAAGGCGGGTAGGTTCTTCGAAAATCACAAGATCAAGAAGATACTATCAACGCCTTATCACCCTAGTGGGAATGGGCAGGCGGAATCAACGAACAAGACTGTACTTCAAAACCTGAAAAAGAGGTTGACCGGTTCAAGAGGAAAATTGAAGGAGATCTTGCCCGAAGTCTTGTGGGCATACCGTACGACTTCGAAGTCAAGCACAAGGGCCACCCTGTTTTCTCTGTTCTACGGAGCAGAAGCCTTAATATCAGTCGAGGTAGGGAATCGAGCCTCAGATTCCAGTATGCTATCGAGGAGTCAAATGGTAAGGCTATGATCACGAGCCTGGAATTGTTGGACGAAAGGCGGAAGGCCGCCATGGTCCGGTTGGCTGCCCAGAAATAGCGAATAGAAAGATAGTACAACCGAAGAGCCAACCTACGACATTTTCAAGTCGGAGACTTGGTATTGAGAAAGGTAATACTACACACCAGGAACCCGAACGAATGGAAACTGGGCCCGACTTGGGAAGGACCGTATCGAGTCGTCAGAATAACCGGCAAAGGCTCATATAAACTCGAAGCTGGAAACGACGTACAACTACCAAACAACTGGAACGTGACAGACTTAAAACGGTACTACTGCTAAGGTATAAACTCAGTTCCTTTTTAATTTTGTTATAAGTCGTACTAACGTATGCATGTAATCGGCTAAGAACAGATGTGGCTATTAGGTCTGAAAGCACGTGTTGCATTCTTTTTTTCTTGAACCGATTTTGTCTCGAAGTGGGTTTTTCGGCATGGTTTTTAACGAGACAACAGTAAAACATGCTACATTAGATTTGAAGATTGGCTCTAAATCGAAATTAGTAATCGTTGGCATCAGATCAACAGTATCCGAGCCCTAACCATTTCGGCCTAGAATACTGGGGGGCCATTACCCCTGGATTTAGATCGTTAGTAAGGAAAGAGAATTTTATGTGTCAAAAGCTTAGGCTTGATGGTTAGGATTTATTGTAAGGGTCAAACAGTCATGCGAACCATGCATAGTCCACTCTAGCCACGACAAAAGACTTTTTAAGCCTCCGATCATGTACCTTACACGAGCAATGGAAGAAATTTCTACTTCCCTTACACTTTGTTGCTATGCATTTTGCTTCTTCGATCTTGGATCCTAAACCCCACGAGCTACCCCTACTCGGGGACCAAACCCACGAGCTGCCCCCACTCGGGGACTATTATCCGATGGAAATTCAGACAACCCGGGCTACCGAATCCCGGAGGCACCAAGCCTATTAGGCAGTGCCCGAATACGAAAGGCTACGACCACCCTAAAAACGGCTCGTAGACGTCCG